GATCTTTGCTCTGGACTCTGTCTCTCCCATAGCAGCTCAGAAATCTGGAAACTGAAATGCAAACTGAGCTGTGAGCTGATGAGCAAAGGCTTAAATAGATTGTGTCACTTCTGGTTTTCTTGAGTATCCCTTAGGATTTGTTTCCATTGCTTCTAGAGGTTTTTCCTGCCAATTCCTATTTCATTGTAGTGTGAGGCTCTAGAATGCTGTTGGTCCCCACTAGAGGTCAGCAGCTCTGCTGTTTTGACTTAGAGATGCTCTGAAATGAAGTAATTGAAATAAGAGATAACACAAAATAAAGGGAAGCATGGGCCATGTCCTGTTAGTTTAATTGTCCAAGAAGCAGCAACACAGTCAAGGAATTGTATTGAAATTTTACCTTCATCAGGAAAACCCAGCAGGACTGATAAGGAATTGATTTGTTTTAATTGGTTCTGCAGTTTGAGAACACTTTTATTGCTCCTTTTCATTTAAGTAGCTGCATTACTTGAGCAAAACCCAGTTTCTGTTTCAATAGTGGGGCTTTGAATGCCATTTTTCTGTTCAGTTTGTGTGCTGAGCTGCAAGAACTAAACCCAGGTTCTCTGTACAGATGGTGCCTGGAGCTGGCTCTGTCCCAGCCATCCAGAGGATCCCTTTGCCTGGAGCAGAGATGCTGGAAGAGGAGCCCCTCTATGTCAATGCCAAGCAGTACCACCGCATCCTGAAGAGGAGGCAGGCACGGGCCAAGCTGGAAGCAGAGGGAAAAATCCCCAAAGAGAGAAGGGTGAGGATAAAACCAGGATCTAACACAGGCTTGCTCTGTGAGAAGGGCAAAGAATCCCACCTGGGCTGGAAAATGAGGATTAGAATCTTGGTGTTCCTCAGTTTTACAGTGTTTTTGTTGTTGTTCATGAGCTACATCAGAGTAAATTTTTTAAGTCCCTTGAGGATAATTGTGCTTTCTTTGGGTGTTTTTGGGAGAGTCTGGAGCTGTGTGTGAGCATGCACTGACAGCATGGTGTCTGTGGGGCAGGGCATGGATGGGGACTGGGAATTTCCCTTGGAGAGGCAGTGACTGGGGGTCTGTGGGGCAGGGGATGGGAATTTCCCCTGGGAAAGCAGTGACTGGGAAGAGGTGAGGCTGCTCCCTCACCTGCTCCTTCCCTCACTGCAGAAATACCTGCACGAGTCCCGGCACCGGCACGCCATGGCCAGGAAACGGGGAGAGGGGGGCCGCTTCTTCTCCCCCAAGGAAAAGGACAGCCCTCACATGCAGGTGAGTGGGGTTTGGGGCAAATCCCCTTTCAGCCCTTCAGGACACACATCAGTGGTGCCTGTGCTGCTTTGTGGTTTTGGGCTTGGCTGCTGATCCTTGTCCCTCCCTGGCTCTGATTTTCTCTACTGCTGACCCCTCATCCCTCCCTGCCTTTAAATTTATTCCAAGCATTGGGAATAAAACCTCCTGTCCCTGCTTGTGGGAGAGCAAGGGATGTTTGCCCTGAGGAATTAAATGACAATAATGTGGATAGAAGTGTGTTCACTTTGTAGTTCCTAGGATAAATGTACACCAATATTCTGTATTTGTAAAACAGCCTTTCTGTTGGGTACTGGGGTGTTCTTTCAGGACATGAATTTAAAGGTAGGGAAACCTTATCTTAAATCTGATGGAAAATTAAAGAATGGGAATATCAGATTCTTAGCTGCATCTTGATTTGCATAAGAAGTGCAAGATATTTTTTAAAGGAATGGACACAATGGAGTAGAATGAGCAGGTTCTGTGGTTTCTCAGTGCTTTAGAGCAGTCCTATGCCTTCAGGGAGTGTTTCTTATTTTGAACTAAAATCATTCCTAAATATTGGACCAGTCCTAAGTCTTCCTAAATACCAGAAACAACAAATTCCTGGGAGGCATTAGGATTTTTGTGTAAAACCCAGGAAACATAGGACATTTTTGGAGATCAAGGGAAGTGCAGGAGGGTCTGCTCTTGGTAGTTGTGTGTGGTTCTCTTTGCTTCATGGAAAATNAGGGGGCCGGGCTGCACCGTCCGGTCCCGGTGTGCGCGGTGCCGCCTCCCCAGATGTGTTCGGGCACGCGGTGCTCCGGCAGCAGGGCCGGCCCTTGGGGCAGCCGGGGGCTCGAGCACACCGAGAGACCCCCGGGCCGCGGCTTCCCGCACTGAAACGACAGCCCCGGGTCATCCCTGGCTCCCGCACGCAGTCGGGAGCTACAGCTGGGCTCCACGTGTCGTGCTCAGACCGCCCCCTCCGCGCTGCCCGGTTAAATCCTGCTCCGGGTGTGGGCGTGCGGCTCCGCGGTGTCCTTGGAGCACGGGGATCCCACGGGAACCCCACGGGAACCGCAGTGGCTCTGCCCCTTCAGGAGCTCCGTGACTCGGTTAAAGTGATACTCTGGAGCTCTCGGACTGTTCATGCCATTGGTTTGCTCTTGGTGTGGGTTGGCTGATGAGGAAAGTATTCCTGGTACAGCTATATTTGTATAAAGATAAATTATGTATATTATATATGTATATATATAAATCTCTATATATTTTTGGAGCTGTCCTGTGCAGGGCCAGGAGTTCGATGGTCCTAAAGAGTCCCGTACAACTCAGTATACTTTTAATATATATACATCATGTCTATATAAATATCTGCTGCTGGAACTGGAGCACTCCGTCGTTCCCAGAGCATTCCCGGTGAGGAGGAGCTGCCCATGAGCTCACTGGGGGAGGAGCTGCTATCCTCTGCCATTGATTGATCCCTGATCTTTAATATTTAACTTGACTACTTTGTGTTTAATGAAGGGGATGAGATAATCCCTTGGATGATGAGGATTTAGAACTGGTAAAACCTTGTCCAGAACTTTGGGCAGCTGCTGTAGAGTGTTGGGATTACACAGCTGTTAATGTTTTAATTAAAGATTTTAATTCAAGGCAGAAATGAAGTATCCAGTGTGAAATTGAAATGAGACCCTGACAGCAGCATTTTCCAAAAGAATATTTATCTTCTTTTATTGTGGCTATGAAAAAGTGTCAGGAAATGGGCAGAGGATGGAGCTCAAACAGCAGCAGTAACCACAGCAACGGGTACAGAGAGTCTGTGACTTAATCCTGTCAGCATTCCTTGAAAAATTGAGAGAGCCGGAGGTTTTGTTACTTTAGACATAGAAAATTAAAGTTCCAGGCTGTGTTTTCTTCCAGCAGTGTAGCAGGAACTTGTTCAGTCGTGGCATAAATCAAACTCCTCACTACAGTAATAATTCTGCTGTTGTTGGGCCAGAGAGGAGAGAAGCAGCGGCAGGGAAATGGTGTTTTCATTTCAGCACGGTGGTGTTGATGTGTGCAGGGAAAGGGCCAAGGAATGAAAGGCAGCGAGAGGATGGAGGTGCTGGGAAATCTGCTGGTGGTTCCCAAAATGCATGAAGGATATATTTGAGTATGTAAATACCTCTTTTGAGAAAAAATTCCTCCTTGAAGGGGTGGGGAGGCCCTGGGTTAGGGGCTGTGTGGATCTCTGGAAGTGTCCAAGGCCAGGTGGGAGCAATGTGGGATGGTGGAAGGTGTCCCTACCCACAGCAGGGGGTGGCACTGGGTGAGCTTTAATGTCCCTTCTCACCCAAACCATTCCAGGAGGGGAGGGAAGAAAAATGAGGAGAGCATGGTGTGTAGTGGGGGAAGGAGAGAAGCCTTCACAGCTCTGCTGAATTCTTGAAGTGCAGTTCAGTTTCACACCTAAAGGTTGCATTTCCTGAGGTTTTCCAGCAGACATTCCCCTGTGTGGGTGCAGACTCAGAGAACTGGTGGAGTCCATGAAATCTGGGACAGAATTGAGGTGGTTTTGCTGCTCACTCAGGTTGGATGTGCCTGAAGTGCCACCTCTGTTTATTGCTGAGATGGAGCAGCTCTGGGAGAGCTCTGCCCTGGGGCAGCTCCTGGTTTGCTTGGCTTGGCAGCTGCAGGGGGACAAAGGGAATTCCTGTTCTGGGGACAGCAGATCACCTGATTTTTGTTTGTCTTGCAGGGGCTGAGGCACCATGGAGCAGTACACGACCAACAGCAGCAGCTCCACAGAGCAGATCGTGGTGCAGGCAGGGCAGATCCAGCAGCAGGTACAGAATGTGGGAATGTGGGAGCCTTTTGCACCCCTCAGAGGGGCACAGCAGCACAATCTGGATCTTCCTGGGTACCTGTTCACCTGACTTCTGTCACCTGGGCACTGATGGCACCTGTCTGGAAGTCAGACTAAATGTGGTCTTTTAAAATGCACTTACTATATTTTAAAAATAAAATTTTATATAAATATAGAAATTTATATAAAATTAAAATTAAATTGCAGGTGTCCAGGTGACCAAATTTCAGTGTAGCAGTGAGTTTGCAAAATTGTAGTGACATGGGGAAAGTAAAATATAAAGACATATAAAAGTATATTAACACATCTATGAAAATGAAGGAAACAGAATATTAACAGAAACAATCAATTGTTCACAAGAAGAATTCCCCCCAAGTTGAAATAGGTTTTTTTCCAAGCCCACAGAGAGGTTTCCTCCAGCTTTATCAAATGAACATTTCTAGAAATTCTTTGTTTCAGAAGAACATGTGGAGCAAATCAAGCACACAGAACAGGAATTAAACCAACCATGTAGCTTTGGATGAACTCATCCATCCCACAAAGAGGTTCATGTTTCAATGTGCAAAATATCAGGGCTGAATTTTGAGGCCTTACTGATTTTGGCTGTTAAGCTTTCCCTGTTCAGATTTGGGGATGTTTTCTCAGCTGCTGCTGAATTTTTTGTTGCGTCTTCTGTTGTAGTTCACGGTGGGTTTGGTGGTTTGCCATGCAAAGGGCTGAGCCACTGGATGATGTTTTCAGGGAGATCTGCTTTGCTTTGGCCTCAGCAGGGACCAAATCCTTCCACTGGGTTTGGCTGGAGCTGACTTTATCAGCCAGAACAAGATTGCACTTGAGATTAAAACATTTTATATTCAGGATTATCTGAAATAACTGTTTGCAGCAGATAACCAGGGATGTAGTTGGTTTATTGACATTTTCTAGGTGAAAAGGAGATAAAACCATTTCTTGGCTTTCATTTGCAGTACAACTTCTTAAAGCCTGTGTCTGACATGAAACATTTTGCTAAAATAAGTTGTTTTTACCAGGCTGTTGCAGCACTTGGGAGGGAGCTGTCCTTCATCTCCCCATGCTAACACAGTTACTGGGAGTATTTTGGGATTCTTAGCAAAGAGACTAAAGATAGAAAAGGCTTTTAGCTCCGACTGCTCCTGCAGCCTCTCCAGACTGTCCCTCAGGGTCACTGGTGGGCAGACACCGACACAGGGGTGGCAGAGATGAGCTCAGACTGTGCTGCAGAAAAGATTTTGTTGGGACAAACCAGTGTGCCCAAAATCTGGAGCCCTTCACAGTGCCAAACCTGGGCAGTGAGCAGACTAAAACCCTGAAACTGAGCTTGAAATCCTGCAACATTTTCCCTGCTGTTCCCTGTGAGTTGGGATATTGAAGCCTGAAACTTCAAAACTAAAACCCTGAAACTGAGCTTGAAATCCTGCCAAATGATTCCCCCCTGTTCCCTGTGTGTTGGGATATTGAAGCCTGGCAGTGTCACATGCAGTTCCAGGGAACTCCATCCTTAGGTTTGCCGAAATTCCCATTCCTCATGTTCCTGGAGCAGTGTGTATGAACCCCACCCCCTGTCCCAGCAGTGTGTTGTGCATTTCCATGTTTCAAGCTCTCCCTGTTCCTGTTCCCAGCAGCAGGGAGGTGTCACAGCTGTCCAGCTGCAGACTGAGGCCCAGGTGGCATCGGCCTCAGGCCAGCAAGTCCAGACCCTCCAGGTAGTGGTGACCTCTCTGATTGTGTTTCTGAGCACTGCATGACCCTCCCCAGCACCACATATCTAATGCTGTGTTTTCCCAGGGTTTCCAGGAGGAGTAGGGGGATGTGGAGCAGGAATCTCTGCTGGGTGCTGCCTGTAGGGTTTGCCATGGGATTGGAGCTGTTCCCAGGTGCATACCAGGAATTCTAGAAGGGAATTGTGGTTTGATGCGATTTCAAAGTTAAAAACACCAAAATGAGGAAATAACAGTTGGGATAAACCAGGAAGATTTCCTGTAATTCCAAGGAAAGGAGGGTTCTGAGCTCCTCCCTTAGGAGGGCTCTGCCTTCACTGCATGAGACAGACAGAGGTGGTGCCAGAGCCTGAGATTGGACAGTGGAACCTTCTCACCTGTGACTGAAAGGGCACCTGGGGACAATGTTGGTCTCTGTGGCACTGAGAGATCTAATTCCTTATTTACCTGTGAACAACACAGGGAAACCCAGGAGCCACGTGAATCCAAACAGCAAGTACATCCCAGTTTGGAAAGAAATTAGTTTCAGTGTGAAGTATTTCCTCTCTTGCAGCCTCCACTTCCTTAACTCACCCAGGCTTTCCAGGAGCCCTTTGTAGAGCAGTTGACAGACCATGGGCACTCAGTATTCTGGTTTTGTTTGTAATTCTTCAGAGCAGGGTCGTTCCAAGGGGCTGGAATGGCCCTGCCAGGTGCAGAATTAACACAGCATTTTTTATGTTCATAGTTCAAACCTCAAATACTGCGTGACTTGGATTGCTGGGCTCACTGGGGCCTCTGGTTGTTTTCATGTTCTCCCTACCATTTTTGGTTTTTTTTCTATTTTGCCTTGCTCTAATTCATTAACAAAAATCCTGAAATGTCTTGTTTTCCTTTCTGCTTCTTGAATATTGTGCTGCTGCCTGTGCTTCCCTGTGCTGACCTGAGCATGCTCCTCCCTGTGTGATCCAGCCCAGAGGCTGAGGGCTTTGGATGGGACACAGACAGGCTGAGGGACAGAGTGGGGACCTGGAAACTCAAATTGCCAGGGCAGGATTTGGCTCCTCACCCCCTGGGGTGTGAAACCCATGAACTCAGTGGCTTTACCACATTGCGATGATCTTGTTCCTAAAAAAATCAGGTTTTGTGGTTACTGAGTTCATGAGACTCATTTTGTATTTAGGCCTTGAATGTAGAGCATTTTTCAAGATGTGTTTGGGGAATCTGGGGACTTGGCAGGTGAGGGGGTACAAACAGAGAGGTTTTCCCCTTGTTCTTCTCATGGGCCTTTTTCCCAGTGACCAGAGAGATACCAGCTCCAAGGGTCCAGAGATCCTCAGGCCAAAGTCACCACAGAATCCCAGACTGGTTTGGGTGGAAAGGGACCTTAAAGCTGACCTGGTTCCAGCCCCAACACCTTCCCCTATCCCAGGGTGCTCCAAGCCTTGTCCAGCCTGGCCTTGGACACTTCCAGGGATCCAGAGGCAGCCACAGCTTCTCTGGGCAACCTGTGCCAGGGCCTCCCCACCCTCATACTTTATATTTACATTTCCAGTCTAAGCCTTTTTGGGCCCAGAAGTGGCTGCTGCTCATGCACTTTGACTTTTCCTCCCTGAACTCCATTTTGTGTTGCTCCAGTTAAAATTTCCCTCGATAACCATGGAGTTTCTCTCAGCACATCCCATGCTCTGTGTCAGTTTGGAGATGGGAATGCTGTAGGCATTAAATTGGAGGGAGCTGAAGCCACCTCAGAACAGGGCTCTGATTGGAACCTCAATTAAAAACCAGTAATCGTGAGGTGAATACTGAAGTTTTTTATCCCACTTTGCTCTTGGGCTGTGCATGAAGGTTCTTCTTGTGGCTGGAAAATGTGGTTTTCATGCTTTATAACAACTAGACTGCAAGAGAAGCAGATAATTCACTAAATCCATAGCACATCCCGGAACCCAGAGCTGAAGCAGCTCAGTGCCAGTTTCCCAGTTCCTCTGCCCCCACAGTGCCACAGGTGAGCTCTGGGGCTGCTCTGGCGGGGTTTTCATTGTTGCCTTGTTGTTGGCAGGTGCAGGGGCAGCCGCTGATGGTGCAGGTGAGCGGGGGCCAGCTCATCACCTCCACGGGCCAGCCCATCATGGTGCAGGCCGTGCCCGGGGGCCAGGGCCAGACCATCATGCAGGTGCCCGTGTCCGGCACGCAGGGGCTGCAGCAGGTGAGACACCCCGGGGCACTGCACTGCCTGGGCACGCTCTGGGATGCTGCCACTGCCACCCAGGGCTCTGCTCAGCACCACAAAACCAGGCAGAGGTGGTTCTTGGTGGCTCTGGCGTGGTGGGAATGACTGAAAGTCCTTTATGAACTCGGTTTTTATGTTTTATGGCCTGGTGCGAACCTTTTAGGTCAGTGCTAAAACACAGCCGGGTTGGTTTGGGTTTTTTTGTCATGGAATGATTTGGGTTGGATGAGATCTTAAAGCTCATCCAGTTGCACCCCCCTGCCATAGGCAGGGATACCTTCCTCAAGAGCAGGACTTTTGTTTGTTGGGGTATTTTATCTGGCCCTTGCAATGTCGTTTGGGGATCTCGTGCCTGTTCGATTTATGGCTCAGAAAGAGGATTTAAAAAAAAATATTTAAGAAAGCTTGCAAGTAACTTGTGCTTGAGTCTCTCTAATATGTGATGGCTGAAGGGGAGTTTAAACATCCCTGTTGCACAGAAGGCAGTAGTGAAGGAGGTGTAGAAAATGGACTGTTTTGGATGTAATAACCTGTTTAAAAGACAGTTGGTAAATTTTAGGAGGTGGTTGAAGTGTTCCTCAAAAGCAAAAGGAAGAACTGTAACCATGGCATAATGAAAGTGTCTTGATGATTCAGGATGGGATTTAGGAACCCAGCGCAGTCCAGGAAGGCAAATGATGTCTTGGTGTTTTGAGAGGTTTATTTGAAATTTCCTTTGTTGAAAACCACTGTGATTTGTATGAGGTTCTTCTCAGTCTGGTTGGTGGAGGAAAATCCATAACTGTATTTTTAAACACAAACTTCAAACCATATTCCAGCTCTTCTTCTTTAATCTAAGAATGTTCCACAGTGGTGGAGAGACTCTGCAAAGCTGAGGACAACTTGATATATCCCAGAAGTACTTCTGAGTGCTGGAAAATTAACACCCCACAGATGTCTTAAATCTTAGTCCTCCTCTTCCACCTGACTATTTGTTCCCAGTGGATGTGAATAATTGATTTCTCCTGAGTGATTTATTGTGTAAGCAGTGCAGAGCTGCTGGAGCACAGTGACACAGCACGCTGGTCCCTCTGCCCTGTGTGGCTGTGTCACAGGGAGCAATCCATTAAAACTCCTCATTTTCAACTGGAAAAAGAGAAGAGTCTCTGCTTCCTTTTTCTGTGCAACAGTAAATCACCCTCAGAGATGACTTGGTCATGCTGAGGCCGAGGAGGGAGAAATCAGAGGCATAGTTAATGTTCCTTTCTGACTCTTTCTTCCACAGATTCAGTTGGTCCAGCCAGGTCAGATTCAGATTCAAGGTGGGCAGGCTGTGCAGGTACAGGGGCAGCAGGGCCAGACCCAGCAGATCATTATACAGCAGCCCCAGACTGCAGTTACTGCTGGCCAGACACAGGTAACTGCACCAGCATGAAAGGCTTTTCTGCAGAGGAACAGGAAAAGAAACTTGGCAAATTACTTAAGATGTGGTTAAGTAAAAAAAAAGGAATTATTAATATTGAGGAGAACTTGAGAACAAGTGTCATGTTTTTGTAGTGTTTCATACATGACTCTGGGGCAGAAAAATTAGATTGCATGTTTCTCTCCATCGTGTTTCTGTATTTTATTGGTTCGTGGTTGTTTTTGTCTTTGTTGAATTTTGAAAACATGAAGCATTGCTAATTCCATACTTGGGCCATTGTGTGCAGTAGTCCAGTCACACCTGGGGTTTCTGCTGATGCTTTTGGTTAGGGCCAAAATTAAATTTCGGAGCAGAACAGTTCTTTCACATCTTCATAGTGAGACAGGAAACCTAGAATTTGGGTTTTTTTCATTATTGAACTGTTGGAAAAAGCATCTTACATGTGCTTCAGGTGTTTGATCTCCAGGTATTTGCTCTGTGCTCCAGCCTATTTCTTACTGCTGCTAATGAGCCAACAGAAATAAAAGCCTGGAACACCTCAAGCACCATGTGTTCATTCAGGAATTGTAAACACTGGAAGAAAGAGGCAGTTTGTAATGTTTTTGTGCTCTTTGTTTTGTTCAGACCCAGCAGCAGATAGCAGTGCAAGGCCAGCAGGTTGCCCAGGCTGCTGAGGGCCAGACCATCGTGTACCAGCCCGTGAATGCTGATGGCACCATCCTGCAGCAAGGTAGGAGGGCTGGGAGGAGCCAGGGCACCTCTCTGGGAGGCTTTTTATTTATTGAGGTGTTTGTGTGCTCTGCAGGAATTCACTCCAGGGTTCTTACCCCAGAACCAGAAAATCTCTTTGTCTCTGGCAAGGGCTGGTAGAATAAAACCCCTTAATTTTGCTTTTCCACCTCAAGAGTACGTGGTTACTCACAGTGAGGTTACAAATGCAAAAACCAGGAATTCTGATGGAATTTAATCCCTCACTTCAACACTTTCCTGACTCGCTGCATGTTTTGGAAGGATGAATGAGTAAAACACAGAAGTGGGACTAATGCTGTTCCCTTCTTTTTGTGTGCGTGTTTTTGTTTCTTTTTTTTTCTCTCTTTTTTTTTTTTTTTCTTTTCTTTTCTTTTTTTTTCTTTCCTTTTGTGTTCTACTTCCTTAAAGTTACAGTCCCTGTTACAGGCATGATCACCATTCCTGCAGCCAGCCTGGCTGGAGCCCAGATTGTCCAAACAGGAGCCAACACCAACACCACCAGCAGTGGCCAGGGGACGGTCACGGTGACACTGCCAGTGGCTGGGAACGTGGTCAATTCAGGGGGAATGGTCATGGTAGGTGTGAAATTCCCACTGCTGCCTCTGGAGGCTGGGCTTCAAGGTGTTTGTACTCAAATCTAGTGGGATTTTCACAGGGGTAAGGATAGGATAGTGGGAATGGCTTTAAGTTGAAGGAGGGCAGGGTTGGGTGGGATATTGGGAAGGAATTCCTCCCTGGAGGGTGGGGTTGGCCTGGCACAAGGTGCTCAGAGAAGCTGTGGCTGCTCCATCCCTGGAAGTGTTCAAGGCCAGGTTGGAGCACCCTGGGATAGTGGAAGTGTATTATTTGTAATTATTTGTAAATATTTGTATTATATTTGTATTATTTGTAAATAATACAAATTTTCAGTTTCAAAGGCCTGGATCCTGCTGTGATCTTTGCTCTGGACTCTGTCTCTCCCATAGCAGCTCAGAAATCTGGAAACTGAAATGCAAACTGAGCTGTGAGCTGATGAGCAAAGGCTTAAATAGATTGTGTCACTTCTGGTTTTCTTGAGTATCCCTTAGGATTTGTTTCCATTGCTTCTAGAGGTTTTTCCTGCCAATTCCTATTTCATTGTAGTGTGAGGCTCTAGAATGCTGTTGGTCCCCACTAGAGGTCAGCAGCTCTGCTGTTTTGACTTAGAGATGCTCTGAAATGAAGTAATTGAAATAAGAGATAACACAAAATAAAGGGAAGCATGGGCCATGTCCTGTTAGTTTAATTGTCCAAGAAGCAGCAACACAGTCAAGGAATTGTATTGAAATTTTACCTTCATCAGGAAAACCCAGCAGGACTGATAAGGAATTGATTTGTTTTAATTGGTTCTGCAGTTTGAGAACACTTTTATTGCTCCTTTTCATTTAAGTAGCTGCGTTACTTGAGCAAAACCCAGTTTCTGTTTCAATAGTGGGGCTTTGAATGCCATTTTTCTGTTCAGTTTGTGTGCTGAGCTGCAAGAACTAAACCCAGGTTCTCTGTACAGATGGTGCCTGGAGCTGGCTCTGTCCCAGCCATCCAGAGGATCCCTTTGCCTGGAGCAGAGATGCTGGAAGAGGAGCCCCTCTATGTCAATGCCAAGCAGTACCACCGCATCCTGAAGAGGAGGCAGGCACGGGCCAAGCTGGAAGCAGAGGGAAAAATCCCCAAAGAGAGAAGGGTGAGGATAAAACCAGGATCTAACACAGGCTTGCTCTGTGAGAAGGGCAAAGAATCCCACCTGGGCTGGAAAATGAGGATTAGAATCTTGGTGTTCCTCAGTTTTACAGTGTTTTTGTTGTTGTTCATGAGCTACATCAGAGTAAATTTTTTAAGTCCCTTGAGGATAATTGTGCTTTCTTTGGGTGTTTTTGGGAGAGTCTGGAGCTGTGTGTGAGCATGCACTGACAGCATGGTGTCTGTGGGGCAGGGCATGGATGGGGACTGGGAATTTCCCTTGGAGAGGCAGTGACTGGGGGTCTGTGGGGCAGGGGATGGGAATTTCCCCTGGGAAAGCAGTGACTGGGAAGAGGTGAGGCTGCTCCCTCACCTGCTCCTTCCCTCACTGCAGAAATACCTGCACGAGTCCCGGCACCGGCACGCCATGGCCAGGAAACGGGGAGAGGGGGGCCGCTTCTTCTCCCCCAAGGAAAAGGACAGCCCTCACATGCAGGTGAGTGGGGTTTGGGGCAAATCCCCTTTCAGCCCTTCAGGACACACATCAGTGGTGCCTGTGCTGCTTTGTGGTTTTGGGCTTGGCTGCTGATCCTTGTCCCTCCCTGGCTCTGATTTTCTTTACTGCTGACCCCTCATCCCTCCCTGCCTTTAAATTTATTCCAAGCATTGGGAATAAAACCTCCTGTCCCTGCTTGTGGGAGAGCAAGGGATGTTTGCCCTGAGGAATTAAATGACAATAATGTGGATAGAAGTGTGTTCACTTTGTAGTTCCTAGGATAAATGTACACCAATATTCTGTATTTGTAAAACAGCCTTTCTGTTGGGTACTGGGGTGTTCTTTCAGGACATGAATTTAAAGGTAGGGAAACCTTATCCTAAATCTGATGGAAAATTAAAGAATGGGAATATCAGATTCTTAGCTGCATCTTGATTTGCATAAGAATTGCAAGGTATTTTTTAAAGGAATGGACACAATGGAGTAGAATGAGCAGGTTCTGTATGCCTTCAGGGAGTGTTTCTTATTTTGAACTAAAATCATTCCTAAATATTGGACCAGTCCTAAGTCTTCCTAAATACCAGAAACAACAAATTCCTGGGAGGCATTAGGATTTTTGTGTAAAACCCAGGGAAAATAGGACATTTTTGGAGATCAGGGGAAGTGCAGAAGGGTCTGCTCTTGGTAGTTGTGTGTGGTTCTCTTTGCTTCATGGAAAATTGTGGAATTTCCTGCCTTTTGTGTCCGCAGGATCCAAGTCAAACCAACGAAGAAGCAATGACACAGATGATCAGGGTCTCCTAACCCCTGCTTCCAGGGAAAAACACCTGAAGGGAATTCCCATCCCTCCTGCCAGCCTGTCCTGCCTGCCCAGTGTGTCCAGTGAATCCTGGAGTGGGACAATCTCCATGCCACAGCCTGTCCTTTTCCACAGAGCAAGCACCACGTGTTGAGGACGTGCTTGAGGTTTTACCTCTACAAACAGAACCTTTCAGACTTCCTTGGTGCCCTCTCCTGATCCATCCCACACAGGGAATTCGGAGTCTGAGCGCTCATCCCTTTGGTTTTCCTTCATTTTTCCACCTCAAGCCCTGTGGCTGGTGCAGCTCAGCCCTGTCCTGGAACAGATTCCAGCTCCTGCAGCCAGCCCTGAGTGGCTGCACCACAGGCCTGTGTTTGCCCAGCAGAGATTTGGTATTCCATCCACTCCTCGCCCCTTTGGACTTGGTTTTCCCTGAGCTGGGCCCTGCTGTTGCACTTCAGACCCTGGCAGAAACTGAAGGGGATTCTTTTCAATTCCACCTGTAAATGTGTAAAGAAGCTCTTCTCTGGGAAAGGATCAGCCATCCAATCAATGCTAGAAATAGTCAAGATTACTGCAGGACTTGATGTGTTGTGTCTCTGTTGCAAGTGGGGTGGGAGAGGGAGATGTGGGGGGGATTGGGTCAGTAAATCAGTCTCTGGGTGGGTTTGGATGTTCATTGCCAGTACTTGTTGCTTTGGAAGAAAACAGGATGCGAGTATAAAAAGGATTGAAACTTTCAAGTGAATCTCTTCCAAAGGATTTTTTTTTGACATTTTTGTTTTTTAAATCTTCTTTCTCACCTGCCAGTGAAGACCATGGTTCCTCCAAGAGACATGGAGCCCTCAGTGTCAGAGTGGCAGCACTTGTCCATTGTTGGGATGGAGTTTCTGATGCCTAAATCACTTCTTCAGTTCCAGAGTGAGGGATGATTCAGGACAGCAGCAGCTGGGGCAGCTCAACCTGAGGTACCTGAAGGACTCAGCAGATGAAGGCAGATACTGATGAACCTTTCATGCTTTTTATAAATTAAGCTGCAAAAAACAAAACAAAAGTGGCACTTAGTAAAGGAGCAATACTTACATTATTTAAAAAATAGGATTTTTCCGTGACCTACAGCTGGCTTTGGGCAGAGCATCTCAACAGAGCTTTAATTTAGATTCTAAGCCTGCTCTATTATAATTTGAATTTTGGTGATGGGAGCAGTACTTCAAAGCAATTAACAGGTGATTTCTCCCCATTCCACTCCTGTCCCCTCCCACCTTGATGAGTTACACAGCTCTGGGAATCATCTACTTGCTGGAGTCATAGATTTTCTCATTTTTGTGTCCTGTAGTTCAGACTGGATCACAGCAGTGAGGTTTGGGGTTGGGAATGTTGCTAGGTGAATGTGAACCTGGCCAAGTGAAGGTGAAGAATGAGGAGCTTTTGAGGAAATGCAGCCAAGGATGGGTGAGACTGGGTTAAATTCAGTGAATGCTGATTTCAAGTGGCAAAAAAAGGCAGCTTGAAAATTATATTTCTTCCCTCCCATGTTTTCCCATTTACTTATGGGAAGCTTATGGCTAAAGACAAAGTGGAGGACAAATCAGCAAATTGTAGAAGACTGGGAGGATATAAAAGAACAGAGCCTGGAAAATTCTGTTTCCTTTGGATGAAAGAAAAACTAAACCTGAGAGTCTAAGAGGGAGAGGAAGGAGGAGAAATACTGAAAATGTTGGATCCTTGCTGTGAGCAGGCAGTCCTTGATGAAGAGAGAGCCCTGTCCAGGTTTAAGGATGCCTTGTGGAAGCAGTGGAAGGACAAGGAGGAGCTGCAGAAGGGGTTTGGAATTGGCAGCTGGGTCTCTAAATGCAGCTTATCTCCTTGGTGTGAATTCTGGTTCCGTGTCCCTCCCCACGGCTGGAGCTGGGCAGGACACTCAGAAACACCTGCAGGAGGAGCTGGCCTGGCTCCTGGCAGGCAAATAAACCTTTCTTTCAGCTTTTGTCCCAAGTTAGACCAATAATCTGGCACACTGCTTACAATTCTTAATTAGGATTTTTTCCTCCTGATTTCAAGGGCATTTTTAACATCGATGGCATTGCCAGGGCCTCTGGTTGCTTCTGCCTTAAATCCTCGCCCAGTTCCAGCACGGTGCTGGTTTTCCTCTGTTGGCTCCTGAAACCCTCATGCAGCATTTCCTCCCCCATTTCAGGAACGTGCAGCTCTCCTTACAGGATTTTAGTTGGATTTGCAGCATTTATGTAAATTATTTTTATTATTTTTTGGAGCATCTCTACATTTTGTTGGTGGAATATTTGTGTGCTGGAGTAAGAGCCTCTTGATGATGTTTTTTGCTCTTCAGTTGATGATAAATCTCTGTCCTGAAACACCTTTTTGAGAGCTGGAAGTTCAGGAAGTAAGATTATTGCTATGACATAGATTTTGTTTAATTTTTTTTTAATGAGTAATTGCTTTTCTTAAAGAACTTGTAAACTTTTTCCCAATATCCCTTCATATCTAAGTTCTCTGATCCGCTGTTGTAGGTTGCGTGTGAAGAAATAGGGATTTGTGTTCTAGAAAGTCTTATTGTTAATATTTTAAATAGTGATGTGAAAGCCTGAGTGCTCCTGTCATATTTTTATTTGTTTTGTGTTCTGTGTATCACTGCTGAAAGTTGTGTTTATTTGGTGAGGTTGGAGCCAGCAGTCAACACCATGGTACCAAAATATCTGCTTTCTTTTCCTGGGACATCTGTTAAAATTGGAGACATGTCCAGTTCAAACTTCCCCAGTAATTAAATTGGAATTCTTTGTAGATTGGCTATACTTGTGCAAAAACTCCACTTTAGGAGTGAGTAAAAGAGTGGGTGAAGATGAAAGAGGCTTGGGGAGAAATGTATTTGATTGACCCAGAGCAGTGAAGCATCAAACCCATCAAAACCCAGATTTATAGGAGTGTAAAGAACAGGATTTGGAAAAAAATGGTCCTTAAGTGATGCTAAACAACTTTAAGGCCCTGCATGTTAAAAAGAGAGGAAAAATAAACTTTTCTTTGTGAAGGGGCATAGGGGGGCCTTGAGCTTAACGTAATGTCAGGCAAAGTTTGTACATAGTTCAGAGTTTTTAATTTTTTTTATATGATGCATTTTTTCAAGTGTATTTTGGTCTTTAATAGATGCAATTGTAAGTACTGTGTACACTCTCCAGCTAATAAAATTTATAAACTGAGAAGATTTTGCTCTGTGTTGGGATGTTGTGATGGGGTGTGGGGTGGGCAGCTCCTGCCCTGACCTGGGGTGGCCGGGCAGCCCTGTCTGGAGCCAGGTATGGCTGGACAGTCCTGCCCTGACCAGGTGTGGCCAAACAAAACCCCTGCACCCCCATACCCCAAAAGAGGCCAAACAGGCCCTGTCCTCACCCCCAGCATGGCCAGACAGCCTTGTCCTCACCCCCAGCATGGCCAGACAGCCCTGTCCTCACCCCCTGTCCTCACCCCCAGCATGGCCAGACAGCCCTGTCCTTACCCCTGGCCCTCACCCCCAGCATGGCTGGACAGCCCTGTCCTCACCCCCTGTCCTCACCCCCAGCATGGCCGGACAGCCCTGTCCTCACCCCCTGTCCTCACCCCCAGCATGGCCAGACAGCCCTGTCCTCACCCCCTGCCCTCACCCCCAGCATGGCCGGACAGCCCTGCCCTCACTCCATGCCCTGTGGGGCCAGCGTGGCCATTTTGGCGCCCCTCAGCCCCATCCCGCCATATCACTACCTTTGGGTGCTGCTCCTGTGGCCCCAGGGCCGGGCTGTGGGTGCTGAGGGGACTGAGGAACACCGGGGTGTCCCCTCAGAGGAGCTCCTGGTCTGGGGTGTCTCTGGGAGCTGGACCCTCCATCCTGGCCTGCGGTTCTGTCTCAGGGATGAGGTGGCGCCTCAAGATGGCGGCGTGTGGGGAGAGGCCTGAGCCCAGGCCTGAGCAGGGCCCTCAGAGCTGGGAGAGGAAAAAAGAAAGGTGAGAAAGAAAAAGAAGACAGGAAGGCAGGAGAGAAAGAAGATGGGCTTGAAGGAAGGAAGGAAGGCAGGAAAGAAGGAAGGCCGGCTTTGAGCTGGCCATTGTTTCTCCATTTGTCCCTCAAGTGTGGGGCACCCCACACGTGCTGGGTGTGGGCTGGGCAGGAAGAGGCTGTGCCACCATTCCCAGCACTCATGGAGATGCTCTGGTACCTCCTGCAGGATTTGTTGTGTTCTATATTTATTCCTGAAGTCACCTGGAAGCTGAGCACCAGGAGCGTCCATGGAAGTGGTGATGGAATCTGTACCTGTACCGCTCCACCCTCAGGTGCCCACCCGCCCTTAAATCAAGATTTAATTCCCTTATATTCCAGGTTATCTCCCAGGAAGGTGATTCCTCCTCATCCCCAGCTCCCAGGGATCCTCTCATTATCTTTTTTAGATAATTTTAGATAATTTTAGATAATTTATTTATCTCTCATTTATCTGTTCTTAGTCCAAGCACCGCTGAATGAAGACCCTCAGAATGAGCTTATTTCTGTGTTTTGGCACAGAAAGAGTTTTTCTTCTTAGAAGGATTGGGTGGCCTTTGAAAGCTTTACCCGACAGTGAATTTCCCAGTCTCCTGTAATCCCTCTGGGCATGCTGCTCTTCCCAGGATTGGAGCTGCACACTCAGTGTGATATCAGAAATAGTTAATGGTACAAACCCCACACCAACATTTCGGCATCTCAAAACCCCCAAAGCACAATGCTGGAAGTCATGAATTCTTTCCAGAATTGGTCAATACAGTGATGATTGCAAAAAAACAAAAATAAAAACCCAACCCAAACAAACAAACAAAAAGAAGAAGGAAATGACAGTTTGTAAGATCAGAATGGGAAGTGGGGACAGGAAATGAGGAGAACAATCACGCAAGCCTGTTTAGGAAGTCAGAAATCAGTTTCTTTAGCTATTATGATGTAATTTTCTAGCTTTTTTTTTTTTTTCAGACAATTTGCAGTAGAATAATAAAATCATCTCGGATATAATGGTATATTAAAAAACTCGTATCGTGTAGCCACATCAAAGCAAGTCAATAGAATTTACTTTTCTCTCTTACCCTCACCTTCAGAACTGCATAAGCACTCACAGACAAGAGTTTAATCCAATGATTGGATATATTCCCTGCCTTCCCACCTTCCTTGCCTCCCCTGCCACCCAGTATCCAGGCTGGAGTCCTCCTGCAACCTTGATATCCAAAAATTAAACCCATTTTTGTGTCCTGTTCAGCATCCTCGGTCTCCAGCTCACGGAATTAACAGGAAAATCTCAGTCAGCTGAAGCTGGGGATTTATCCATAATCCCTGAGGGATGTTTGTTCATATCACCACGATAACAGGATTCTGTAGTTGGATCAACAGGGGTGTAATTTGTAATAAAGTCAAGCTAGATTTATCCCAGAGCACGGGTGCGTGTTAATAAACAACAAACAGGGAAATACAGAGTTATTTCTTTGTAAAACAAATCAATATCTTGGAGTGTAAATTCCACCTCAAGAACTCAAGCTGATGACAGTTTATACTATAAAGTAGATAAATATTTTCCAAGAAGCCCCTTGTTTATTAGAAGATGTCAAATGCATTCCTTGTCTCTCTGAAGCCCAGGAAAAAACTCATAGGTTTAAAATAAAGCAGATTTTTACCACTTTGCTGAATCTAATTAGAATGGGCAGTAATTAACGATTTTTTTTTGGGTGAATATTCAAGTCCAGAGGAAGCAGCTCACTTGGCCTGGCTGTGGTGATGTATCAGCTGCTGCCAGATACAACCAGTTTCCTGTATTTGGGTTTACAGCTCCCTGCTATTTAAAAATAGAGTAATTTGGAAAAGCAAATGCACCACAGCTTTCCTCTGGGTTTGCCCACCAAGGTGCTGTGCTGTTAGAAAAGCACAGTTGTTTTCAGGGAAATTGTACTTCCAGGTGTGTCCTTTCCCTCACCCCATCACCACCCTCAGCACCTGGGTTCAAACCGAGCTGTGTGGTTTTAAGAGCAGTCTTGGCTTCTGAATATCAGCCTCGGTTCCTCTACAGCTGCAAATATTTCCTCCTTGTCTCGTGAAATTGGGGAAGAGCAGAGGGGTGTGTGGCGAAAGGGAATGTGAGCTCAGAGATGTGTAGGAAACTTGCACAAACTGCACTTCCTAAGGGTTAAAGGACTGAGCACAGTCAGCACATGGAATATTTGGGGTGATTGCAGGTAGCAAAGTTTTCCTTCGATGAAGATTTGATGTCATTCCTGCAGATTCAAGGCCAGTTAATGATCAACATTGTGTATTTTTGTTATTACCACAAGCAGAAAGAAGCAGAAGGGCTGGGACTTCCTCAAACCAGCAAAGTGATTTGTGTCTGCCTTGAAAGAAGGTGTCAGACAACCAACAAATCCAGGCAGCTTTAGCCTGGGAGCTCAAGGAGAAGCCTCACGCCCATGAGGGAAGGATGGAACTGTTGGATAATCCCCTGGAGGGATGAACCAGCATAAAACACCAGGGATTTCTGATTTGGGTTTGCCAAAGTCCATCCCTTTTCCTGCCATGAAGGCCAGAAACTCTTTTGAGTATAAAACTGTACCTTCCCTGCTCAGTTTAAACCTGACTCTCACTCCCAGCTCATCTCTGCTTCCCTGGCCAAGGATTGCTGTGAACAATACCTGGGTTTCTGCAATGACAAGCCGCAGGGTCAGGAAAACCAGCCAAGAGGATTTAGGGGCTTCACCTGCCCTTTCCTTCTGGTAGAGGTGGTGAGGAGCAGAAGGAGAACAGCAGCAACCAGAGCAGCAGTGGGCAGGAAGGAACTCAGCCCCACGAGGGCACAGGGAAAACCAGGATATCTTCATTCATGTTTACAAGTGATGAGGTTAATCTGGGAGGGGACTTTGCGTGCTTTACACTGGATTATGTTTCCAGGATAAAAATCGCAGTGCATCACCCCTACTGTCCCTGTAACAAGGGTGTTTGTGTGGGGGCAGCTCTGATCCACAGTGCAGGGGATCCAGCCCAGCAGTGTTTGCCTCGGCATCTGGTGAGCCTGGGGAAGGCTCGGGAGCTTGGATTCCCTTCCAGAGTGCCACCAGGGGTCAAAGACATCCCTCAGGAGCTTGGATTCCCTTCCTGCAGTGCCACCAGGGGTCAAAGACATCCCTCAGGAGCTTGGATTCCCTTCCTGCAGTGCCACCAGGGTTCAAAGACATCCCTTAGGAGCTTGGATTCCCTTCCTGCAGTGCCACCAGGAGTCAAAGACATCCCTCAGGAGCTTGGATTCCCTTCCAGAGTGCCACCAGGGTTCAGGGGAATCCATCACTGGGATGCACTGGCCCTTCTCAGGGTCTGTGTTTGATCTTCCCCTTGGAAAGCAACAATAGTGACAAAGAGCAGGTGATTTTCCCACATCAATCCATCCCTGGGGACTTCTGCTACTGAAAAATCAGTGACTTTTCCTCCTGCAAAGATTCAGATTGCTCAGAGCCTGTTCCATCTGTTGATGTAAATATAAAATTTCATTTATCATCAATGAGGCCAAGCCAGCCCCACCCTCCACCAGTCAGCTCCAATTTGTTTATCCCATTAGCATGTATCAAAAATCTGTTAAAAAAAATAAAATTCAGGAATTATCTGTGTCTCAGGAAATTTCCAGACTCCAAAGAGAGCTCTTTAGCACTGACCCATAATCTTTCTTGTCAAGTGATAAGAAATTGCTGACTTTTAGAAGATCATTAATTCTTTGATTAACTCACCCCAAACTTCCAGCTTGATGCTGGTCCTTAGTTTGTTTCTCCCCTGGAAATGGCTCCCGAGATGATCTTCTCCCAAGTCATTAAGCTGGAGCTTTCTCAGCTGCACTCTAATCATATTCCATGAGAACTCATTAATCATCCCAGTCCCTCCTGCTTTAATGAGACTTTGATCAGAGTTACCTTGAATTTGGGACAGCATTTTGCACCAAACACAGGGCTGGAGTTTCTTGTTGGCTCTTACAGGATGGGAGCACTGAGGGACAGGGAGTTCCTTTTATTTTTTTTTTGCAAAAAGCCCCAAAAGTTCTGATGAACCTCGAGTTGTGATTCATCAGGAGGGAAGACAGGAAAAAACAACCCCCATGGAGTGTCCAGATCACCCAGCACAGGAACAGAGCCAACATCAGTGCAGAGGAAGCAGGGGAAGGACAGAACCAGCCCCAGAAATATTTCTGTCCCAAACCCACTTGGTTTTGGTTAATACAGTCCTACCAAATTACATGCATTGTTTTTGATGTTAATCAGTAAATTATTGACTAATTTATTCTAATTTCCTTGGAGATACTTTATTTCAGATGGCAAATTCCTCTCTGTGGAGGAATGTGCAGTCATACAGCAAGTCACCTGTCTGGACCAGGAGAGTGCAACAAAGAAAGATTTTCTTCCTCAAAAGTTGCTGATTTAAGACTGAGAACCTCACAGTGGTGAGAGGGAAAGACCTCAGAAGGACAAGAGCTGCCAGATTCCCACCATGAATTTAAATTTCTGGATAAAACACAGAACTGCTCTAAAAATAAGAACCCAAACGTGTAATTGAAATAAGCAGATTTCAGTCATTGCTTCTGTGGGCAATGAGAGGTTGGGCTCTGAGCTGCTGTTCTTGCTCTGGATGTTCCAGCCTGTCCTGCTGGCTCTGAGTGTTCCTGGATGTTCTAAACACTCCAGGGTGTTCCAAGCATCACCTCTCCTCTGGGACACGACTGTGACCTGGCGTCCTGCAGGAATCCACACCAAGCCAGAGAATCAGCTGCATTTTATTGAGTTTTGAAAGGGAAAAAGAAATGTGAGTGCCCATGGGTTTGGAGCCTGGGAGAGCTGAGTGCTGCCTCACTGTGGGGAGGGAGGAACATGGGAGAGAAAACACAGGGAGAACAACAGAGAGACTGTTCCTGTATTCACAAAGTGCCTTCAGAGAGGAGGAAACCAGCTTGGAGCTGCAAGGAGACCACGTCCCATTCCTGGTATATCCTGCAGTTCCTTGCTCCTTTCCACAGGGATTTTCTCCAAGCATTCCCACTGTCCAAAGCAGCTTGGGGGAGCTGCTCTTCCTCACCTTGCAGAGACAGAATCTGTCACCTGGCTGTGCCCTGAGGTGACAGGGAGTTGATGGGTGTCAGTTCAGACCATGATGGAATGGTCCTGGGAATGATGCCTGGAATAACTGCCTGGGGATGAGGTGCCAAGGGGAAGAGGTGGTGAAGAAGATGAGGATGTTCCCTCTCCAGAGTGACAGGTTCTTCCTGTGTTGAGTAGCGATCCTTTACTTAGGGGAGGTGGCAAACACCTGATTTTCCTTTTCCATGGATTCCCTTTGGCTTGGCTCACGCAGAGCCCTCCCAGGAGAGGCCAATTCCATCACGTCCGAGGTCAGCAGGGAACGGGAGCACCTGCTGCTCACCCAGGCCTGGGTTCTGCCCTCTCTCCCTGTTCTTCCTGCTGTGGGCAACAACACAGACCAGCACAGCCACCGTGAACTTGGCCACCAGGAATCCAGCGAGGATGTAGAAAACAGTGAAATCCACCTCAGGAGGGGACCTGTGGGGAACCAGAAATTCAACTATGAAGGGGATGGTCCAACCTTGAAAAATCTCTTGTAGTGCTGTCTTAGTCCTATGAAGATTAGAGATCTCAGCACGAGGAATTTTGGGCTCACCTGGAGATGCTCTGCACAGCTCTGGGCTCCTCTGGCACGTGGGTCACCAGGTCAGCTGCTGATGGAAACAAAACAGTTTAGTCTGCAGATGTTTCTGGGGGAAGTTCAGCTGGGCAGATAACCCAGGTGAGACAAGGCACTGGGAGCAATAAGGGGGTGCCAAATGCCCTCTAACAGTGCGGTCACGCTGCTGTAAATCAGGAACAAAAAGAGACAGTGAAGCACAGAACCTCCTTAGAGAGAGACAAAAGTAGATGTTAACTCAAATGAGCCCTTGGCAGCTGCAGACACCCATGAAATTCCAATAGGAACCTGTGAAATTCCAATAGGAACCTGTGACATTCCAATAGGAACCTGTGAAATTCCAACAGGAACCTGTGAAATTCCAATAGGAACCTGTGACATTCCAATAGGAACCTGTGAAATTCCATCAGGAACCTGTGAAATTCCAATAGGAACCTGTGAAATTCCAATAGGAACCTGTGAAATTCCATCAGGAACCTGTGACATTCCAATAGGAACCTGAGAAATTCCATCAGGAACCTGTGACATTCCAATAGGTACCTGTGAAATTCCAGTAGGAACCTGAGAAATTCCAATAGGAACCTGTGAAATTCCATCAGGAACCTGTGAAATTCCAATAGGAACCTGAGAAATTCCAATAGGAATCTATGAAATTCCAGTAGGAACCTGTGAAATTCCAGTAGGAACCCATGAAATTCCAGTAGGAACCTGAGAAATTCCAGTAGGAACCCATGAAATTCCATCTGGAACCTTCCAAACTCGAAGCTCCAGGACACACCTGCCAGCACTTCCACCCGCACCTTCCTCAGGCTCTTTGTTTCACCCAGGAAATCCGTTTTGCACTGGTACAGCCCCGCGTCCTCCTTGCGGAGGCGCCTCAGGGTGACCGTCAGGAGCCCGGCGCGGGTGTTGTCCCTGATGGAGGTGGTGCCTCTCCTGGTCCTGGGGAAGGGCAGCCACGTGGGTGGGGAGCTCACCACCTGCTGGCACCGGCTCTGGTCCAGCTGCCTGCACCAGCTCTTCTCCCGCCACCACTGCCGGGGGTCGTAGGAGCAGTTGACAGAAATGGTGTCCCCCTCCATGGCGGCCACCACGGTGACATTCTCTGCAGCACAGGATGCTGTGAGGGACAGAGGGACAGAGGGACGGGTGAGCCAAGGCTCTTCCAGGTCTATCCCTCATTGTGGGGATACTGAAGGTGTTCATCCTCTAGTGATGTCACCCATAGGGCTGTCATCTGTAGGATTGTCACCCATAAGTGACACTTGTAGAGTTGTCACCTACAGGGCTATCACCTGTAGGACTGTTACTCACAGAGCTGTCACCTGTAGAGTTGTCACCCATAGGGCTGACACCTGTAGGACTGTCACCCATAGGGATGTCACCTCTAAGGCTGTCACCTATGGGGCTATTATCTGTAGGACTGTCACCTCTAGAGCTGTCACTTGTGGAACTGTCACCCATAGGGTGTCACCTGTAGGACTGTCACTCATGAGGCTGTTACCCATAGGGCTATCACCAGTAGGACTGTCATTTGTAGGGCTGTCACCCTCAGAGCTGTCACCCATAGGGTGTCACCTGTCCCCTCCCCCACGACCAGCCCAGTGTACTCAGATCTTGGCTCAGATATTCTGGAATTTGTCCCAATGACACCTCAAACCAGTGCCCCCCTTGCTGGTTCCTTCTGAATCCCACTCCCAATTTTCAAATCCAGTTTAACATTTTTTTCCACCCTATCTTTTAATATCTTACTAATTTTAACTCTGTTGACAACTGGTCTTTGTTCTGCTTGATTTTTTTTTTTTTTAATTGTCTTGGTTCCTCATTTCTAATTTCCATTCCTCTTTGTGACAGGCAGAGGCAGAGGGGACAGTCTGAGCTATTAATACTTCCAGAGAGAAGTGCAGTGTGGTATTTGTGGAGATCTCTATTTCTAGTGAAAAAAGTCACAGGCAAATGCTTCTGTGAGACCACAAGTAATGATAAAACAGAAGTAAATTTAAAAATAGGCTCTTGTGAGGACTTTGTGCTGGCTGAGCCTTTTAATAACATTTCTTATAATAATTTCAACAATTCTAAGTGAATTGTAAACGAAAAAATATGAAGTTATTTTAGCTTGACTAGAAGAAGACCTAAAATGGATCTGTGCTCTGCAAGTATCCAACACCTACAGGGCTTTATCCTGATGTATTTGTCCACTCAGGTGTTCCAGTCAGGGATTACCTCAGGGAATATCCAGTCCAGTCCTGTTCAGTCCCTCCAAAACTCTTTAACTGCTTCTCCTGTTTCCTTTTCCTTCCTCCAGCTCTGCCCCTTCAGCCCCAGAATTCACACAAAACTGCAAAACATCTCTCAAACAGAATCATTGAGAGATTCCCTGATATCCCTCTGGAAAATGTTCTGTCATTCTCTTTTCAACCAGTTCTGCTGACAGATCATAAACTATTGGTGTTCCTCCTCTCTTCCTGGGTGCCACTGGGCAAAGTACAGTGAACTTTTTCTAAACTCATCCCAATTTTTCGGCCAGGTTCCTGTGCTCCCACAGCCTGAGTCTGCTGCCTTTCCCTGCACTGCTGTGAGGATCTGGGGTCTCCAAAGCTCTGCAGAGAGCCCCAGCTGGGCCCTGTACCTCAGTTCTCATTTTGGATGGACATTCCTTTGCAAGCTGGAAAACCCAGGTGTCCAGGATTTCAGGGCTGTGCCCTTCACTGGGTTTTATTTCCCTCCCCCTGAGCCCTGCCTGTGGTCATTTGCATCAATGTAAATCCCATTTGCTAATGCAAACAACCCAGGATTTTGCAATTTCACATTGCACACAGGACTTCTCTCATCAGTGTTTCCTGTTCTGACTCAAAAGGATCCCTGTGAGGAAATCTGGGAGTTCTGGGATCACCCTTTGATGGGTGGCCCTTTGGTAAATAAAGGGAAAACTCTGAGGATGGAGCCTTTAGACAGAGACAAAGCTTTGCCCCAGTCCTTCACCCTTTACCTGACCCCAAAGCCACGTGCAGTTCTTACCTGACAGGAAGACCAAGGTGAGGTGCAGGAGCTTCTCCATGAGCTGAGCAGAGAAGGAACGGGAGAGGAGCCTGGAGAGGAGCGATGCTGGCTCTGCCCTTGGGCAGCTCCTCTCCCCCTCCTCCTCGCTGTGCCGGAAGGAAGGAGCACAGGAACTTGGCATCTTTTTCATCCTGCACATTGAGCAACTCTCCAGGGATGGGCATTGCTCTCGTGGGCTGAAAGTTCAGGCATCAGCACTGACAGTCCCAGCCGCAGCTCAGTCAGCCTGGAAGGGAGCAGCACGTGGTGGCCTTAAGCCACAGGCCTGGAGGCTTCCACTGGAGCAGGATTTCATCATGGAATCACAGAATGGTTTGGGGTGGAGGGACCTTAAAGCTCGTCCAGCTCCATCCCTGCATGGCAGGGACACATTCTGCTATCCCAGGTTGCTCCAACCTTGCCTTGGACACTTGGATCCAGAGGCAGCCACAGCTTCTGCTGTGTGTGTGTGTCAGGGCCTCCCCACCCTGACAGGGAAGAATTCCGTCCCAAAATCCCTGTGGTAGTGGGAAGCCTTCCCCTTGTGCTGGCTTTCCAAGCACAATGGTGATAAATCATGATCAATTATTTCCAGGAGCTGTGCATAGGGGGGATTTCTGGAAAGCTGAAAGGGAGGCTCTCATGGTAGCTCTGGCAGCATCCTGAGGGTGAAGGAACACAAGGATCATCCCCTGGTTTTTCAGGAGAAAGAAGAGCCTGTGCATGGAGCATCCTTGTGTGAAACCCATCCACACACAGCAGGGTAGGGGCACTGCTCAGGGAGAAGCTGTGGGTGCTTTGAACAAGCCCAACACCCACCTGTGCTCTGTACCTGGCAAAAAGGACACGGGATCTCTGCTGGGGACACTGATTCAGAGCCAGCTACAGTGCAGAAGGGGCTCAGCCACAGAATGCAGCCACAGACCCCTCAGAACATCAGCAAACTGATGGGGGTGGGCTGCTGGTTTTTCATTTTTGAGGTGATTTATTTACTTGGAGGTCTTCCATGAAAGTATAAACAGACCCTGCCTTCTAAACTGGCGTGGTGCTAAACCTGCAGGCCTGGCCACTCCTGAATGTGCCTTTCCTCGAGTTAGTGGTTAAGAAAATGATCTCTCCCAGTGACCAGAAATTCTCTGTCAGGTGACTGATTACAGGCTTTTTCCTTCTTGTTCCAGTGAGCACAAATCTGGATTCTCTTCAAGAATCTGCCCAAAAATGCCTCTCTTCCACTCCACTGTTTTTTGCTATTACTCTTCCACAGCTTGACCCAGTGCAACTGCATGAAGAGCAAATTGTTAGGGGAATGTTGGGCTGAATGAACCATTTCCAGAACCATTTTCTTTTTCTTTCTGTCAGGTCAACTCTGAAAATCTCAAAAAATTTCCATCAGCCTCCCTGCTGCAGCCCTGGCAAGAGAAGCCTGTTGGATGTGACTGGCCTGGGAATGAGAGTTGGTTCAGGCCCCTTTGGTCTGTCACCTGCAGCAGGGCTTGGGACAGGGAAATCGGGAGCCAGAGATCCTGGAGAAATGGAACTGAGTTCCATAAACTCATTTCATGTTGCTCCCCACACGACTGCTAAACAAAATGTGTCATTTCCAGCAGAGACAGGGAAGTGCAGGAGCTGGTTCTGCTTATTCTGAGAATCCAGCACTCATATGCCAAACCCATTCCATGAGAAATGAACCCAGCCACAGCGAGGTTCGAGTTCGATCCCTGCAGCACTGGAATGAGTTTGCTTGGCCACAGTAGCTGAATTTTTGGGATTGGGGCAGGGTTTGTATCAGGACACAGCTGGAATACCCCACCCAGCCATGTCCAGACTGCTCCTTTTCACAAGGCCAGGCCTCCACACCTGCCCCTGCAAGACTCTGCACTTTAATGGAATTGGAAAAACAGATGTACAAGAGATCCTGGGAATTCCCCCACAAGTCTGTCAGACCCACAAGTGTGGCAAAACCTCTGCTTGGCCCTAAAACAGGAGGGAGGGCAGAAAATGCTCAGGCAACACCACACGCATGGCAGCAAAACTCAGCTTGTCCATCCACACACCTCCTGCTCCTCATTCCCACTCTGTATTCCAGTTCCTTTCTCCCATTTCTGGCTTGTTTGGGATTCTGTGCTTCATTCCCTGCCGCTCCTTGGGGACTGGCTGAAGGCGATGACGGCGTATTCCACATGTTGGGGGTTCCTGTGAGCCTGACTTGGTTCCACGTTGCAGTAAAGAGGATCCTGGGGGCTGGGCTGGGATTGCACATCCAGGTTGATGTCTGCTGACCTTTGGCTGTCATCCTGGGAACTCTCCCTCTTCCCAGCACTGCCAGGCTGGGAAAAGAAAGGGAAAGCAGTCGTTAGCATGAGTCAGTGCCAGGCCACAGCTGCTGCCAGGAGAATGAATAAGGAAAGGAGAAGCCATGTCAAAATTTACCTTTGGTTGTGACAGAGGTGAAAGAACAGAGAACTTTTTTCTTCACCACCTCTCCCAGATACCTCATGCTCTGACCCTGCTTGCTTCTCCTTGAGTCCCTCCTCAGGGGTTACTAGAATTTGCTCCACTGGGTTTGTTCCTGCTGGAGTTTCCTGGCAATAATTACCCCCCTCTCTCCCCAGCTAGGAATATTCCTCTCTCTGCTAACCTTAAATACCATTTCTCTCCTGTTTATAACCAAACTGAGCTCCAAGCTCCTCACCAGGTGGGTCTGACAGTTCCTCCCAGACTCAGGTCAGGGATTTGGCACAATATGGGAAATGTTTCATTTTCCTTACCTGTGCTGTGCCCTCTGGTCTGTCACTGGTGTCCTCTGCTTCTCTGTGACCTTTGGAATGAGGCAGAATCAGAGGGTTTAGATGCAGAGAAATCCATGAAAAGCTCTGTGCCTGAGAAGGTTTGGGAAGGCTGTGGGATTGCTCAGTGATGGGATATGCCTCTGCCCTGGGCCTGGGGGACACTTTGCTCTCTTTACTCCTCCTCCAAGGTGTCTGCACCCCTGTGCAGGCTCTGGAGGAACCTGGGTTTGATTTATGGTGAGGGGAAGCAGGGAGGAGCCTGCTCGAGTCTCCCTGCCTGACCTGCTCCGGGCACTGGGAATGAGCTCACCTGGGCTCAGGGAGGGAAGGCTCTGCCTGGGACAATCCCACCTACCTGTTCTCCTCAGGAGCTTGTAGTGCCTGACACCCAGGGCAATGGAGGTGACGAGGGCCAGGAGGAGCAGGATGAGCAGCACCACGGACAGGATGATGAAGGTGTTCCCATTGGAGCTGGAGGAGAGGAAGGGAGTTACCAGTGTAGGATGGTTTGAGAGCCCATCACCAAACAGGGACCAAAAGAGGGGCAGGGACAGGTTTTATGTGCTCAGCTCAAGCACTTGGAAGGAAGGCCTGCTTCTCCTGCAAGATTTCCTGCAGATCCTGTAGGATCTATGAGGCTGGGCAAGTCCCTGCTGATCCAGAAGGGAATAAGAGGCACTGGGGACCTTCCCTGGTTCCTGATTCTTGATTTCTCTACTTGGCTGTAGCTTCTAAGCCTTTCCTAAACCATTCTCCAGGCTCAGTGTTCAAAGCTCCAAGCACAATTCCAGGCTCTCTGCAGCAGGGATGATTCTGCTCTAAGATGCTGCTGTAGCATTGATGACAGCAGATCTACAAAGGGGGAAAAATCCTTCACATTTAACTGATAAATGGAATAATAGCAGGACTGTCCCATTGTTAAATACGCAGACATGAGGAGTAAAGTCAAGGCTGAGGGGCAGAATCTGGGGGTTCTGTTTATATAAAGTGCAGAGCCCAAAGAGAGAAGGATAAAGAAGTAGAGAGGCTGCAGAAGGCTGTGACATGATTTTACCAATCTGCCTCTTCCTTTGGAATTAAGGTTAGGGCAGGAGCTGGAGGAGGAGAGGCCTTTGGTGAGGATCCTGTCATAGCCAATTCCTCCACAGGCAGGAGTGCCCAGGACCTGCCTGCCCCAGGTGTACAACACCAGTAACTTGTGTGTGCTCAGGCTCTGAGACTCTTCTTAGGCCTTACCTGGGTTCTAGGCTGTCACCCAAAAGAATTTTGTGACTTTTGCCTTCAGTGTCTGGAAAACCTCCCGGAGTCAGCGCTGCAATCACAGACATGAGAAGAGGAATGGTCACTCTGCATTCAGCAGTGAAACCTCTGCCACTGCTGTTCCTATGCCCAGGGCCCTGACCCCATGAGTTTATCCAGAGCATCCCAATGTCCCCTCTCATCATCTGCACTGTTTACTCCTAGTCCTGCAAGAGCCAGGCTGCAGCCTGGTGCTGCTCTGCCATGGCCAGGGGTCTCAGTGCCTTCCCTTACCATTAAAACATTGTCTGAAAGAGAACCCAGAAGTCACAGATCTGTAAAATCCGAGTCTGAAGTTGTTCCCTTGGCAACCCGAGGGAAGGTCTTTGAAAGCCAAAGGATGAATCACTCTAAAGGGGCTGTAAAGTCACTCTCAAGAGCTGATATCAAACACTGAGTGACAGAACAGCTGTCTCAGGACAGCTGAAGCTGCTCCCAGGTTAAGGAGGAGCAGCACAGCACCAGTGTGGATCTGCTCCCATCCTGCTGCTGTTCCACAGGGTGGTGGCCACAAGAAGATCCAAAGCTGTAGGGTTTGGGCAGGCAAACACAGGCAAGGTGGGAAGTGGGGTGAGCTGGGCAATGCAGAGGGAGAGAGCAGGGCAAAGAGTCTGGAATCTACAAACGTGTCCTGACAGATCCATACCCACCCTTGGAAACGCTGAGCGTGACCTCCTCCATGCGCAACAGACCGGAGCGCTCCTGGAGCGCGCACCAGTAAACACCCGAGTCCTGCACCTGCAGCTGCTCCATGCTGATGGTGACAATGCCCTGCTGGGTGTCATCCTGGATCCTGACACCTTCCCGAGCCGTGCTGGGGTCTGCTGGGGGCTCTGAGCTGGTGGTGACCAGCACATTGCACGTGTTCCCCTCTTCCTTTTTGCACCAGGCTTTGCTGGCAGCCCCGTAGGCCGCGATCTTGTAGTGACACTGCACAGAGATGTTGCCCAACTCCTCGGCTGTGTGCTGCTGGGTCCCTGGAAAACAGCAAGGATGTGTGCTGACACCCCAGAGTGGGATCCCACAGCGGCACCCCCTCCCCAGCACCAGAAAACCCTGGAGCTGCATCCACCTCCACACCTCCACCTCCCCTAAGCAGAAGGAGACTGCACCCAAATTCCCCAAGCAGAGTTGTCATAAATTTGGGGGTCCTGTCCCCCTCATCTGGTTCCCTCAGGGTGGGACACTCAGCCTGGGATCTGGGAGGGTTGGTGGCTGTG